AAAAAAAAAAAAAAAAAAAAAAAAAAGAGAAGGAAGAAAGCTTTAATGAGAACAAATGGTAACTCCAACCTCAAGAAAACACACAAAACCGATGGCAAGAGGACGAGAGAGCGAGAAACCCAGGAGTGTGGGAGTGTGTGTGCAGGGGAAGGCAGCAAGCGGGCGATGAGCGATGGTGATTTTGGCCTGGGGGTGCTGGGGCGAGCCGGCCCCGTGCAGGGGTGAGGTATTTCTGAGCAGAGGCAGGGCTGTGTGGAGGGTGAGGTATCTGGGACAGATCTTGTTAACCTTTTTTGATGGTTGTTGGAAACCAACCAGCAGGCAGTAGTTAAAAAAAAAGAATACACAAAGAGAGACTCACATATAAATTTTTTTTTTTTTCCTCAAAAAAATAAAATCCATAGTCCATATGAGACATGAAAACTCCAAACAGGCACTGAAGCATTTCTGATACAGTACAGCTCCGATTACATCAATATTATTCCTTATATAGAATTAAAGATTACCATAATTATCCTCTTTCAAAAAAAAAAAAAAAAAAAATCCTCCAAATTTACATATAGAGACTAAATTTCTACAAAACTTAACAAAACAAAACCCCTCCAAACCCGGCTGGGTTCTGAAACAAGGTACCATCATGTCAGTCTTGACAGAGGGGCCAGACAGAAGGGTTGCAGAGCTGGGTTTAAATACGAGCTTAGACCAGGGAATCACTGCACACGCAAGCCGGCACGGACGTGTGGCCAACGCGACTACAGCAAAACTAGTTACATGACAACTGACTCAAAAATAGCGCTCTCTGAGGCTCAGTGCTTCCAGATGAGCTGTATCCCTCACTCCCCTCCCAAAGCAGTGAGGTGCTGAATAACAAAAAATAATTAAAAAAAAAAGAGCAAATTTGCTTTTAAAATATCCTGTCAGTTCTTTTGGACACGGTTTGAACTGTTGCGCACAATTGACATCCACGGCAGTTAAAGGATCCCTTTAATGGTGACTGTTTCTCTGATTTAGCTGTAGATGATGACCTCCTCTCTCCCTAGAGAGATGGTCCTATGGGCTTTTTTTGGGGGTCTGTGGCAAGACACGGTAGCACCTTCACAACCTTAAATAGTTTAAAGTCATATATATAAAATAACACACTTTTTTAAGAGCACCAGAGATTTCACAGTGAGAGGTAGAAACAAATCAGACAAGCCCATCCTCTCTATTTTAGCACCAATCTCTTCCCCTCTCCTCCTTCCATTCCCCCTCTTGGCTTCGGGACTCTCCCCTACCCCAACACCATGCATGAGAAGGCATGTTGATTAAACTCACTCATGGAAGGAGGAACTTAAGTTTTTTTTTTCTGTTTTTTTTTTCTTCTTTTTTTTCTTTTTGCTTTAAATAATATAATATATATATTTTGTTTCTTCTAATATTGCACATCAAAATGCTTCCGGTACACAGAGCAGCCAGATTCAACTTGCAGCTCCGCCTGGGAGACCTGAAGCAGCACGTGGCCATCCAGAAGGCGACAAGCTCTGAGAGGGAAGCTTTATCTTTTAATTACTTTTCAATGGAAAGAACATTTGGTAACTCAGGCACCAGGTAAGGCAAAATGGGGAGGGGAAAAAAACCCAGAAAACCCACACGCTGCAAGTTGCTTGAGGTTTCTCTCAATATTTTCTTTGGTCATGGAAAAAGCTTTGTGTGTGGAACCGCTTGCAACATTTAGTCCCCTGATCCCTTTTCACTGTTCATGTCCCGACTGATACCCGCTTCCCCTACGTCCTTGTTATCCCTCCTTCCAACAATCTGCTGAGTTCAGTAGATCACGGGTTCTTTGAGACCTTGAGCCAAAGGCTAGAGCAAGAGTTGACCCAAAAGATACAGCCCAGCTGTCCTTGCTGCAGAGAGGTGGGAGAGCCCGTGTGAAGACATAGGCCAAACACGGGGTCAAAGCCTTGGAGCCAGGTTTTGATGGCTTTGTTCAAAGGAAGCACACGGGGCCGACCTCGAGGTGATATTGCTTTCCTGGCTCGGATGGGGGAAGGTTGTAGATGTTGACAATCGGCAGCTGCTGAGGGTCCTGCGTCCGAAACGAAAAGAGAGTCCGATGCCAGCGTCCATCCTTGATCTGTGCAGGGAGGAAGGACAGAGAAAAAGCTCTTTAACTGGAGGACGAATCCAGCTGGAAAGGAATGTGCTTCACTAAGGTACAAGCTTGAAAAGCCCTGTGTGAGACAAGGGACTGCCCTTTGGGCTGAGCAGGTCTGGGGTGAGGTTCAGAAAGCATTTTGGGGAATCCCTTATGCAGGTGAAGTTGATGGAAACTGAGCTTGAACCAGTATCACCAAACACAGACTCCTAATGCAGTGAACCCAAAATGCAGACGTGGCTACTGACGACTTGGTGTGCCACTGGTCACCACCTTCAGGTGGCAGTTCCCCCTTCTGCCATTTGACTGCTGCTACGTGTGACACGTAACTTTGGAATTTAATTTTTTGCTTTCTGTTTGAAGGCCATCTACTTAACAGGAGCTGCTATAGCACCCTGGACTGGAAAATTGAAGTGGTGAACAGATAAACTAGACCCTTCTCTCCCCTTTTTTTTTTGTAGAATAAGAAGCACAGGTATAACTCAACCTTGTCTCGTGCCCCAAGTGGGTTCAGCCTGGCATTTCTTTCCACCCCTGCCCTCTTTCGTAGCAACAGACCTTGCAATCATCAGCCGCCACTTCTGGTCTGAGCTGCCCGTCTGCCTCAAACATCTGTCCATTCCAGGCCCTGAAGCGCACGGCTTTTTCTGAAGGTTTCTCGGATGAGCCTTCCCGCCAGACGGAGGTATTCAGGCAGTGGATGGTGATGTGCTGCACCACCTCTGAGCTCAGGAGGCGGAGGAAGTTCATCTGG